CCGTGTGCGCGGCGCTCAGGCTGCCGACGCCCGCGTGTAGCTGCGCGGCGGCGCGCGCCATCGGCCCGCCCGCCATCCGCTGCGCCTCCCCTCCTCCTCCTCCTCCCCCGCAACGCTGGTGACGTCCTTGCCGTGCGGCAGGCTGTAACGGTTCTGCAGCAGGCCAGCGATGGCGCTGCCGTGAACCTGCGGGTAGGTCTTCTCGATGAGCTGCTGTCCCACGTCGTGGCCGCGATCGGAACACTCCGCCGCGGAGGCATCCCGACCATCGCGTGCAGCGACCCCGGCCCGCCGCCCGATCTTCGCTCCGACGGCGGCCATGCCGCCGACGGCGAGGCTATTCGGAGCGGCGACGGCCTGCTTCGGCGACGACGCCTTGCTGACGGCAGACTTGGGTGTTTGACGGTGACCTTCTCCCGGCTCGCGCGCGCGCCGCCGCCGCGCCGCGCAGCTCGTCCTCGCGCGCGCGGATGAACGTGCCGACGACGCGCGTCTCTGGTGCGTCGCCGTCGTCGTCGTCGGCGTCGATCTCGCCGCTTCACCTCCAACTTCGGCGGGGGTCGCGACCTCGCGCGTGCGTCGTTGCCAGCGCGACGTGTCTTGGCGGCGGCCGGCGGGGGGTGGACGCAGCCGGCGGGCGGCGGCGCCGGCGCGTTTCTCGCGGTCGGCTGAGCGCGGGCGACGCCGCGGCGGCGCGTTCTCGACGGCACGAAGAGCCCCGTCTCCGCGCGACAGTACATCGCGGCGATCGTGCGCCTCTGTAACCTGCAGCACCTGCGCCTCGCCGCTCGCTGTCGCCCCTTCACGTCCTGGTGGATCGCCGCCCGACGACATCCGTCAAGACTGCGGCACGTTGACGCTGGCCGGCTCGTCTGCTGGCTGCTGCTGCTGCGGTCTAGCGGGAGGCGTGTTGGCGCGGGCGCAGCGCCGGCGGCACACTGCGGCTTCACCTCCTTGGCTCGCGCTGTCTGGCTTGATCGCGGACAGCGCAGCGGCAGTCGTCGCCAGCAGGAAGTTCTGCTGTGCCGCGACGAGGGCGCTGCTTGCCGGCGTTCTCGCCGGCATCTTCGTCGCCGCAGTGTCCGTGTCCGTGTCCGGTGTCGTTTGTCGTCGTCCGTCGTCGTCAGTGTCGCGCGACGCACGTCGATCTTGCGTGTCGTCGTCTCCTCGGGCGACGGGAGACGTGATGCCGTCGCTCGTGTCAGAGATTGAGACCCGGCGCTTGCCGGCACCGCCTCGCGCCGCCCGGCCTCCGCTGCCGCCGCGCCCTCGCTCTGCCTTCGCCATCTCGTTGATCGGATCGTGCGCTCGATGGCATGAACACCGAGATGATCGGCCGCGTCGTTGATGCGCTCACGCGGATCTCGTCGCCGTCCGCTGCCGCTGCCGCCGCCGCCTGCTCCTCCGGCTTGCGCGCGGCGCGCTTGCGTGGCGCCTCCTAGCGGCCGCTGCCGCCACCACGCTCTCGACGGGAACCTCGAAGACGCGCGTGCGACGTCCGTTGATGATGTCGTCCACCGAACTGCGCGCGGCGCCGCTGGGATCAGTGCGGCCGACAGGGGGGGCCGGCGTTGGGGTTGCTGCCGCCGGGGCAGCAGCGGGCGTCTGCGGCCTACACGTGGCAGCGGGCGGCGTCACGACCGGCTGCCTGAACTTTCCGTCGGTGCTGCGCTGCTCACGCGTACCTGTGCCTTAGCAGCGGTGGTGCTCGCCGGTGGCTGCTGCGTCTTGCTCGGCGTCACGATGACCGGTGCTTGGATCTTGCCGGCAGCGGTGCACTGACGGGTATCATCTGGGTGGTCTTGCTCTGTGCGGCGTGCCGGATGGCGGCTGCTGCATCTTACTGGGCGTGGTCGCGGGCGTGTCGTCATAGTTGACATGGCGGCGTTGCGTGACTCAGCGACACCTCCTCAAATGACTCGCTGAAATCGTACACGTCTGCCTTGGATCGCCGCCGCGCTCGGCGGCTCCACCCGTCACCTTTGGCCTGCCGCGTCCTGCGCGAACTTCGCTGCCGCTGGCTTGGGGGGTGCCACCTTCGTTGACGCGGGCGATGCGCGTCTGCACGGTGTCGTCGGTCGCCTTGGTTGCGTGTCGACGGGCTCTCGACGGGCGGATGTCAGGCAGAGACTGCGTTCGACGACTTCTCCGCGTCTTCGATGGAATCCGCTCGCCGCCGTACGAGCGCGCTCCTCGCAAATCCTGCCGCTTCGACTTGGCCGTGGCGGCGGCGCGCGATCGCGCGGACACCCTGGCAGCGGGCGCGCACGGTCGGGCGCACTGCGCGCGAGTGCCGCCTTCAGCACGAGACCCGCCGCGCGGTTCTTGTGGTCGAGCGCAGCCGCATCTGCGTGCGCGGCGACGGCGCGTCGGTGTCGAGCGGTCGTACTGCAAGCCGGCTGTCCGTTGCTGTCGCGACTCGCCTTCGTCATCCTCCTCCTCCTCTCCTGCTCCCTGCCTCTTCCGCCTCGCCCTCCTCCGCTGCCGTCGCCGCTTCCTCCTCTTCACCTTCTTCCCCGGCGGCGGCGCGGCGGCGGCCGTCGGCTCCTCGCGCGGCGACGGCGGTCGTCTCGCGGCGTCTCGGCGCTGAACACGTCGTCCGTCTCGCGCGAGAGCACGGGCGGGGTTCGAGCAGCGGGTCTCACGCCCGCCCCCCCGCCGACCCGCCGCAACGCTGCTAGACTCAGACTCGGTCTTCTTGCGTCGCGCTGCGTCGCTTCCTCTGGGCCGTCGCCGGCTGAGACTCCGCCGCGTCGGCGACTCGCGGTTCCGGCTGCGCGACCACGTCTCGTCTCGCCTGCCGGCTCCTCCCTCGTCGCGTCCGCGTCGGGCTTCTCCCTAGCGGGCGGCGGCGGCGTCTCGCTCCTTGCGGAAGGTGAATACGCTTCGCCGTCGCCTCTCCTTCCTCAAACTGGGTGTAGCGTCTTCTTCTCGCTGAGTACCCCTCGCCTCGGACACCGACTCAAAGTACGGCCGGCGTAGGGTGCCCTCTCCGATGCGAGGTGGATCAGGTCGGGCATTGTCGTCGTCTTCGTCGTCGTGAACGACAAGCCATCGTCTCGACGAGACAGCCGGCCACGCGGGCGACCTCCCGTCGCCCGCTCACCGCTCCCGGCTGCTGCTGCGGCTTTCACCTTCCTGCCTGCCGCCGCCGCCGGCGTCTTCTCGTCGCTTTGTCGGCGCAGCGGGGCGGCGTCGCCAGGAGAGGGCCGCCTGTCCTTCGCGGCTGTGTCGAACGTTGCCGTGGCCATCGCGATCTTCGCGTTCCGTCGTCGTCTCGCCGGAGTTGCGCTTCGGGCGACGGCCTTCGACCTCCGCCGACGCCGGGCGCCACCTTGTGCTTACACGGCTCGGCGTCGGCTCGCGGTTCTCCTCGGCTTCTCGCCGCATGTCGATGACGAGCTCTCCCTCCTCGTCCTCCTCCTCCTCCTCAGGCCGCAAGCCGTGCGAGACTCTCGTACATCGCCAGACGACGGAGCCTCCTTCGCCGCGACCGCTGCGCCTTTCTCGATCGGAGCGTCTCATCGGAAGCGGGCGCCGCCAGCCGCCGCCGCCGCCAGGTCTCCGTCGACGAGCAGCAGTATCGGCGGCGCGCCACGATTCGTCGAGGTACTCCTCCTTCTCGTTGCGCCGGACCCTCCCCGCGCGCGGTCGCCTGCTGGTCGCTTGCCGGGTCGTGGCGGCGCTGCCGCAGCGGCCGCTCGTCGCGAACCCTCTGCCGCGCTTTTTGCCGCCTGCCGCCGCTGCCAGTCGCTTCCGGCCCGCGATGCTCGCTATTGCCAATCTCCAGTGCTATGCTCGCTTTCTCCATCTCCCCCTCCGTTCTGACAGCTCAGCGACGCTGCATCTGCGGCTTCGCTGCCGGGCCGCGCAGTCGCACCCCGCCGCCGCCGCCAGCTGCTGGCTATTATCATCGTTGTCGTCGGCACGGCGGCTGAGCTTCTCGGTGACCTTCGGCTCGCCTCTATCTTCTGCGGCTTTCCGAGAGTCGGCCATCGACCGGGGCTCGACGTCGGACGCGACGTCCACCTACAGCCTCCATCCGTTGATGCGCTCCACCTTCGGCATTCTGCCCTCTCCCGCGAGTCAGCGTCGCTCAGCAGAGACCGCGAGAAGTCTCGCGACAGCTTCCTCCAGCCGCGGCTTCTACCTCAGGCGAGGCTTCTTCCGTCGTGCGTCAGTCGTCGTCGTCAGTCGTCTGTACGTCGTCGCGTTCGTGGTCGCGGCCGACGTTCGTTAGCCGGCAGTGCCGAATGACTGCGCCTTTTCTTCTCGTCCTGTCGCTGTATTCGGCCTCCTTCTTGTGCACCTTCTTCTTGTCCTTGCTGCGCTCGTCTTGTACTATCTCCTTGTCAGTTCTTCTTCTTCTTCTTCTCCTTCTTCTTTGCCAGCCTCCTTCCTCTCCGGTGCTGGTTTCGCTGGTTGGTGGTGGTGGAGGTGGAGGTGGTGGTGTTGCGGTGGGCGGGTGGTGGTGGAGCCTGTTTCGGGAGCTTGCGGCGCAGGCGGGATGTGCTTTCTCGGTTCGTCGCCGTGGCGACCGCAGCTCTTTCATCGCTGCCGGCCGAGTTCGATGTGTTGTCGTCACCAAACAGGTTCGCTGCCACAGGTTTTTCTTTCCGAGCGCACGCGGTGGCAGCGCGGGCGGCGCACGCTCGCGGCTTTCGCGCTGTACCGTTACGACCTGCCTTACCATCGTGCATTCTCTGTCTGTTTTTGCCTGCTGCCTCCCCTCCTCCTCCTCCTCCGCCTTCGCTGCCCATGGCCTCTCTGACTTGACGCTCACCTCGCTGTGGAAGAGCACTGAAGTGTCGGCGTCGAGCATTCGTCAGCCACCTCCTTCATTCCGCGCTGGCTTCCTGCTCTCTGGCTTCTCCTCCGTTGGTCTTTCTTCTTGTGCCGGCTAGCTGTCTGCTCGCTGCCTGCTGCTGCTGCTGGCTGCTGCTTTTCCCCTCTTCCATTCGGCTTCCTCTTCTGGGCCTTCTCGTGCAGCGGGGGCTGCGAGCACACTACAGGCTGCTCCCTCGCGGCTTTTGCGGGCTTCCTCTCCTTCGTTTCTCGCTCATCCGCTATCTCCTTCTCTGCGCGTTCGTGTCGGCCTTCGGTCGGCTCCCCGCTCATTTGGCCCTTAGCTTAGCGCTTGGTTCCTTTTGCGAGCTCCTCCCTGCGGCCGCCTCCACCGCGTGCTAACCGAAGCCTTGCTGCCCCTCGATCTCTGCAGGAGGATCGTCTCCGCCTTGCTCTTCTCTGTTCTTGCCCTTCTCCTCGCGGTTTCTCCTTCTCGCGCTTCGCCGTTCTTCACGGGGCTCCACCTTCTCGGCTTCACGTCGAAAGAGTGCGCTCGTCAGGCGATTTCCGCCGCTTCTTGTACTCCTTCAGCTTTCTTCTCGCGTGGCGTCTGCTCGGTAGGGGCGCCTCGCGCCGTGGAGGCGGCGGAGGCATTTTCTTGAAAGCGCGCGCGCGCCCGCGCTCGTCCTCCTCCAGTGCTCGAGCCGCTCCGCTGAGAACACGTCGGACCGGTCAGCCGAAAACGAATTCGTTCGTGTGTTGCGACTGCGCGGTAGAACACTTGAAGTCGGCGACGGCGCGCATCGACGCCGTGTTCCTCCTTCCCTCCTCGTCCTCGTCCTTCGGCTCGACGACCCGTGTTGATCAGGGCGCTTGAACCCCTCGTCTCCGCTCGACCCTCCCCCTGTCTCCGCTCGACCCTCCCCCTGTCTCCGCTCGACCCTCCCCCTGTCTCCGCTCGACCCTCCCCCTGTCTCCGCTCGACCCTCCCCCTGTCTCCACTCGACCCCTCTCTACATCTCCGCTCGACCCCTCCCCCTGTCTCCGCTCGACCCTCCCCCTGTCTCTGCTCGACCCCTCCCCGCATCTCCGCTCGCGCACGGTCGAACGTACCACTGGACCGGATTGGAAGGTTCTTCACACAGATTGCCAGCTGGTTCTTCAGCAGTTCGCTGTCGCAGTCCTGGCTGTTGCTGTTGATCATCACCATCGACAACGGTTGCTGATTGGTCACCGCCGTCACGGCAGACGCCAGGTTGCCCGACGTGCGAGACTTGCTGCTGCTGAGGAAGAGGCAGAAACAGCAAACGCTGAACGCAAACATAGAGAGTACGCGCACGATGAGCTACGGTGCTAACTTATCGATGTTTCGATTAATGGAGAACTTTTCTCTCAAAATGAAGGTATCCATGAAGAAATTACGCAGTCGGCAGCAAGGCACATGGTGAACTAACCGCCCGAACGACATAAAATATTGTAAAATCAGCTGTAAATTGCCACAGAACATGATATGAATTATGTGTGGCCAAGTATTTTCAGGTCACCAGACACGGATTCCTGCTCATGTCATATCAGGGACTCCTGCAGTCCGGAACAGGGAGTAATCGACATGTAAAATGTGCGTGACCACTGAACACGGTGCTGTATCACACACACGTGACACGACCACCAACTCAACAGTTAACCCTCAATCACAATCTAACGGTAAGCGGACGCGGCGGCGGCGGCGGCGTTACCTGGGCGACCGTGACGAGGAGTGTGAGTCGCTGTCGCTGTCGGACGTCGTCGATGCAGAGCCGCTGCTGCTGCTCGACATCGAGTCGGAGCGCGAGCGCGAGTCCGACCGCCGCCGTCGATGCACCTTCAGCTTGCCGGGCGATCGCTGCGTGCGCGGCCGGTCGTCGCCATAGTGATCGCTGTAGCGCTGCTCCCCGTACTGCCTGTGCAACCGCCTGCCTGGCCTGCAGATGCAGCAACGCATGCGAGAGATGAGAAGGTGCGGCAGGCGAATACACGCATACATGAGATGAGATGAGATAGGAAGATAGTGAGGCCACGTGAGCACACACATACATGAGATGAGATGAGATAGGAAGATAGTGAGCACACTACATGAGATGAGATGAGATAGGAAGATAGTGAGCACACTAAATGAGATGAGATAAAAAGATAGTGAGCACACTACATGAGATGAGATGAGATAGGAAAATAGTGAAAACACTACATGAGATGAGATAGGAAGATAGTGAGCACACGCATACATGAGATGAGATAAGATAGGAAGATAGTGAGCACACACATACATGAGATGAGATGAGATAGGAAGATAGTGAGCACACGCATACATGAGATGAGATGAGATAGGAAGATAGTGAGCACACGCATACATGAGATGAGATGAGATAGGAAGATAGTGAGAACACTACATGAGGTGAGATGAGATAGGAAGATAGTGAGCACACGCATACATGAGATGAGATGAGATAAGAAGATAGTGAGCACACACATACATGAGATGAGATGAGATAAGAAGATAGTGAGCACACACATACATGAGATGAGATGAGATAGGATGATAGTGAGCACACGCATACATGAGGTGAGATGAGATAGGATGATAGTGAGCACACGCATACATGAGATAAGATGAGATAGGAAGATAGTGAGCACACGCATACATGAGGTGAGATAGGATACTAGTGAGCACACGCATACATGAGGTGAGATAGGATACTAGTGAGCACACGCATACATGGGGTGAGATAGAATACTAGTGAGCACACACATACATGAGGTGAGATAGCATACTAGTGCAGTGAGCACACACATACATGAGATGAGATAGGATACTAATGTAGTGAGCACACACATACATGAGGCGAGATAGGATACTAATGTAGTGAGCACACACATACATGAGGCGAGATAGGATACTAATGTAGTGAGCACACACATACATGAGGTGAGATAGAATACTAGTGAGCACACGCATACATGAGGTGAGATAGGATACTAGTGAGCACACGCATACATGGGGTGAGATAGAATACTAGTGAGCACACACATACATGAGATGAGATAGGATACTAGTGAGAACACACATACATGAGATGAGATAGGATACTAGTGAGAACACACATACATGAGGTGAGATAGGATACTAGTGAGCACACACATACATGAGGTGAGATAGAATACTAGTGAGAACACACATACATGGGGTGAGATAGAATACTAGTGAGCACACACATACATGGGGTGAGATAGCATACTAGTGAGAACACACATACATGAGATGAGATAGGATACTAGTGAGCACACACATACATGAGGTGAGATAGGATACTAGTGAGCACACACATACATGAGGTGAGATAGGATACTAGTGAGAACACACATACATGAGGTGAGATAGGATACTAGTGAGCACACACATACATGAGGTGTGATAGGATACTAGTGAGAACACACATACATGAGATGAGATAGAATACTAGTGAGCACACACATACATGAGGTGAGATAGAATACTAGTGAGAACACACATACAATACATGGGGTGAGATAGGATACTAGTGAGCACACACATACATGGGGTGAGATAGAATACTAGTGAGCACACACATACATATGTATGCGTGTGCTCACTAGTATTCTATCTCACCTCATGTATGTGTGTGCTCACTAGTATCCTATCTCACCCCATGTATGTGTGTTCTCACTAGTATTCTATCTCACCTCATGTATGTGTGTGCTCACTAGTATTCTATCTCACCTCGGGGTGAGATAGAATACTAGTGAGCACACACATACATGAGGTGAGATAGAATACAAGTGAGCACACACATACATGAGGTGTGATAGAATACTAGTGAGCACACACATACATGGGGTGAGATAGGATACTAGCAGTAGATAATAGGGAATTATTATTAATATTAGGGAATTCCCTATTATCTACTCCTGATACTAGTGAGCACACACATACAATAGTAACATGAGGTCAGATAGGATACTAGTGAGCACATACAGGTGAACACTGATGAGACAAGATATAACACTGGCGAATGGACGTACGTTGGCCAACAAGCAGCACGAACTCATAATTCTCTCACGTTCGAAAATCATTAATGAACAATGTTCTCACCACCACAGTCGCCACGCGAGGGAAAACACCCCCCCCCCCACCCCTAGAGACCACAAATAACGAACCTGTCTTTGGCCTGGAAAGATGCGCGGTTGTATCTGTGCCGGCGGCCCTGGCTTTGCATGTCATCACTTTCGTGGTAGCCTACCAGATGCCGGTTGTAAATGTCCCGCTCGTAGTAGCGTTCAAATCCCCGATCATCCGGCAAACTGCAGAAGAACGAAGAGACATCTTGAACATCAATTTGCTACACGGGAGCACGCAACGGTATTACCACGTCAATCCGAATTTGGTGGGCAGTGCAAGCTTTCGTAATCGCGCGCTGGCTAAACAAGGAATAATAGTTCTGTATAGAAACCTTGTTATGATAAATTACAGTGTAGAGGCTAGCCTAGCTGCATGCTGCTGCATAGCTTCACCACCATCTCGTGCGGGGGCAAACACTGCTCTGCTGAAACGTTGCACTTTGCCTCGGCTTCTATAACGCTCTAATGTGGCCATTGGATGCTGAATCCCAAAGCCCTTTTTCACATAAATGACCGAGCCGGCATAGCGTCACTAGGCAATCAAGAGCGCATTGCATGCGTGCACGCACGGTTGTACTCAAGCGTGTGTGCACGTCTGCGTGAGAGTACATGCGTGAGTACATTAGTGTGCGCGTGCGTGCGTGCAAGACCAGCCCCCCTGCCTTCCCTGCTCATGAGTTAGCCCCAGCCAGCGCTCACCCACTCCGCAGACACGCAGCAGTGGCAATCACATACATGATTATGAGAGCCATGATGAATTTTGGATGAAGTGAGGTGATGTACGTGATTGCGATGTACTCCTCTATCACACTGACCGCAGTACAAACACACGCACGCACGCACACACCCATATTCATACATACAGAGACGTTTGCACGCACGCACTGATACAGACATAGGATCTACGGTAAATACAGAGGCTTACACACCCACATATCTGCGCATGCACGCACGCACGCACGCACGCACGCACCAACTGCAATCGCGTATAACGCACACTGTGCCGCTAGATTGCCCGCCCGTGCGTGCGTGCGTGCGTGCCGTGGAGAGCGCGCTGTGTCACGCAGCTCCCGCCCTCTGGCCGCCGCCCGTCGACCAGCTGTCCACGCGAGAGTTTACCGAACTGCACACTAGGTGGACCACAGCTGCTGCTCCGTCTGCCGCGCCTCGCTGCACACCCGACTGCGTGACCGTGCAGCTTTAATCGGCCAGCCATCGCCTCCATCAGCAAAATGTCAGATGGTGCGCGCGCGCGCGGTGAGGGTGGTGGGGGGTAGCAAGCAGAGCTACTGTAGATCGATTAGCTAGCGAGAGAGCCGGCGGGAGCGCGCGCTCACACGAAAGAGAGAAAGCAGATGAGAAAGCAGAAGAGAACGAGAGAGAGAGCGAGAGACAGAGCAGAGAGAGCGAGAGAGAGAGAGAGAGAGAGAGAGCGAGAGAGAGAGAGA